ACTGCGTCTGGCCGCCGCCGGCCGACGACGGCGCGCACGACGCCGGCGACGACGGCGACGCGGGCGCGGCGCTCGCCGAGGCCGTCACGGAGGTCGCGCGGAGCCTGCGGCGCGCGAGCGACCGGCGCCGCGCGGACGCGCCCTTCCCGAACGACCCGCCGCCGCCGCCGGGCGGCGACTCGCGGTCGCCGAGCCCGCCGGCGCGGTCCATCTTGGCCGTGGCGCGCGCGGGCGCGAGCCGGCTCTCGCAGATCGCCGCGGACCGGCGAGCGAAGAGCGACGCCGACGACGCCGCGGACCGCGCGGACGCGTCGCTGCTGGCCATCCGGCGCTGCGGCCGGGCCCTGGCGCACGCGCTCGTGCGGGCGACGCTCGGCGCGCCGGCGCTCGCGGCGCGGGTCGCCGTCGAGCTCCGCGCGTCCGTCGCGGCCGCCGTCGAGCTCGGCGACGAGAAGGTCGCGCGCGGCGCGCACTCCGCGGCGCAGGTGGCCTGCGACGACGCGCTCCACGCCCTGCGCTGCGCGCGGGCGCTGCGGCGGCGCGCGGCGGCGTCCGCGGCGAGCCCCGAGGACGCGCGGCTCCTCGGCGGCGTCGCGGACGCGGCCGTCGTCGGCCTCGTGCGCGACTCCGCGAACTCCGTCGAGGTCGGCGGCATCGCCGCGGCCTGCGCGCGCGCGGCGCTCTCCGACGGCGCCGACGCGGCCAAGGCCGGCGACGCCGCGGGCGCGCTGGCGGCCCTCGCGGCGCGCCTCGACGCCGCGGGCGCCGCGGACGCCGCGGAGCTCCTCGAGTTCGACGGCGACGTCCACGGCGACTTCGACGACGACGGCGGCGGGAGCCCGGAGCCGCGGCGCGGCGGCTGGCTCGACCCGGGGGACGCGAAGACGAACCTGAGCCGCCGCGCGGCCGCGGCGCTCGCGGCCGTCGCCGTGAGCCGCGGGTCCGCGGCCGCGGGCCGCCGCGCGGCGGCCGCGCGCGACGCGGCCGCGCGCGCGGCGCTCGACCGCGGCCTCGCCGCCGCGGAGGCCGACGCGCGGCTCGAGGCCTTCGGGGAGCCCGCGCCGGCGGGGCAGGTC